ATTGGGTGATATCTATGGGTAGGCTTGTTGTTGCCAATCAAAAGATATCCTTTTTTAAACAACTGAATGCAATAGATTGAAACAAACAGCTTCCTTGCCAGAAAAAAACTTCTATCATTCTGGGACTCCGTTCAGTCGGTAACATGTTAACCAATATATCAAATGAGAATATTGGTCTAAACGAATCCCGAAATAGCCATTGAACATAGGTTTTGTTGAGAGAACCTAATAGATGAGATATTCATCTGAGTTCCCGCCCCCTCGGAAAAGCTAGTCATAACTACATGTTATCATTCAAAGTTCATCTGCCAGCGCACGTTTTTTAAGCGTGAAAACTGGCGGCTTTTTGAGTAGCACATTTGTGACTTGTGTTTGGGATGCACATTATCCCATCTAGACTAAACCAGAGGTCATCAGTGCTTTTCACTCCGCACACTGGCACCGCGCCTTACCCTCCAATAGGAATTCGTCTAAATGCTAACAGTGAGCAGTAGTAAGTTACACATCGGGCTAACACCTGGACTGAAACCAAAAACGAACACATTTACAATGGAACCCATTAAATTTGGTCTCGCCGAACTCCAATTGTTGTCGTGGTACTATAACAACCGTACAGTCTCCAGCCTGGTTAAGTTGCGACGATGAATAGATAAGCAGTCCCGTTTCGCGATCGTTTGTGCATTTTTGGACGTTGGCCAAGGGTGTTGTTGCATTACTTTCACATTATTACCTTGGCTATGTCAAAGCACGCTAATACGGTTGCGCATCAGCCTACTGCGTAGCGGAACAATCATGTGAAACATGGCCGTGCGACTACGCCCACACGTCTGAATCACGTCCGATTTCATCGTGCCGGAGAAAGGTCAAAAAGGGACACAGAAAGTACACGCCCACACCTTGGCCAAGGCACCCTGTAGACAAGCCCACAGACGGCCATCTATGACCAACCGAGACAATGGAACAACCGCCCGACAACCGGTGTGGGCGTGCGGGAGACACACCGGTTGGTTGAGAGCAGATCGACCATCAAATACGGTCATACGTGAATCATATATATAGAGAGTTGTAATCGCGTTAATAGACAGTTCCTTCTGGTCGTTTTCTTGTCTCCTGATTATAACCCATTAGCGTCAGGGCAGGTAGCATTGTTTGCTACCAAAACAGTGCAACAGAGAAACCACTTCCCTTCATTTGGGGTCAGCAGGTCAACTCGGAAAACCCGTTCAAGTGGACATTCAGAAGACCGGTGTAAGCAGTGTGATGACGCTTATCGCTTGGGGTATTCCGACGGATAGGTTCAACGGAAGGACACACTATCCGCCTAGATCTACTGTGCGAAAGGAGCAATGTAGATTCGCAAGGCGGCCTATCAAAACCGTAACCAGAATTTTAACTGCAAATCTGGTGGTTTCAGTCAAACAACTTTTACTTTTGTCTGCGGTACTCTAAAAAAGACTTCTATCGCAGCCAGCAGCCAGTAAACATCTCTTGTTCGTAGAGCATCATTTTCGTGTGATCTCAAATTTTACTATTTTTTCAGTTTTCAGGGATTATAAGTTTCCTGGTTCACTCAGACAACTGCATTCATTCGGTCCGATCCATTATTTTTTTTCACTCAAATGTAGGTCGAGTGAACCCCTGGTTACCTTGTAATTGACATGAATGCCATTCAAATTTGCTGACCATATTACTGGAGTCTTTTGTAAGGACTATGTGAAGTTTGCTTCGTTTTTCTTATTGACAATCAAGACTAAAGGCATCCCTACGCTGGTTTATGCTTCCTTACTGGGTCCCTTAAATTTCGGCTCACCCAGAGTTTCCCAAACTCAAAGTTAAACTTATTTGTATGCGTAGTTTTATGCCGGAATTTGAGCAACATAGTCAGCCCATACATAGGATGTGATTTTCTTAGTGTAGATACAATGTATTTCAAAGGAAGCCCAGTTAGCCCACCCCCGAGAGACAATGTCAACGGAATGCGAAACTCGAGCTGTATTGGGAAACAGAGGTTGCTATTCATAAGTATCCTCCTATAGCCACCACAATTTGAAAACTACAGATGTGTGTACATCTCACAATGACAGTCTTACCTTCTAATTCGTGCTGATAAGTGGAGTGCCTCTGTGCCATGCATACAGGGTTGAAACTGTAAATATTTACTTTGAGGATAAATGATGTCAGGATCATTGTTTTAGGAACTATGGATTCCTTAGTGGCAGTTGAATGGGGCGAAATTCACACGAAATTCACAAAATTCACCATATTTCCTGCTGTAATTCAAACCTAACAACTTTCTGACCGCTACGTAAACCCATATTACCTAAGGAAACATACGTTGCGGATCTTACAAGCTAGCAGCTACTCTCCCTGGCTGGAAACATGTCTTCGTGTAAGAAAATATTCGCGTCTGGTTGATTTAAATACGGTAGTCGCACAACCCTCAGCATTGTCGTTTCATGGTTCTATACAGGATGGAAATAAATTGGACGGCATACTGTTACACGCTCCAAAGAAATCCGCCAAATCCGTTTTGTGTTTGGTTTCGTCGGTGAAGGATATATGCTCATTTGACACAGCAACCTAGATTATCAAGGTCCGCCTGTGAAGACGACAACGATAGTTTAACGATCATCTCTTCCGGCTTGTTGGCCTTTATTATGGGTGCCTGTTTGCCTCCTAACAAGTGCACCCCATATAACTTGGCCTAAGTGGTTTCCTCTGTGGAGTTCCTAAACTTGGCAATGTTTCGGAATATGGGTAGCTCAGTTGCTTTGCTTTGTTATTGGTCTGCTTGTCGAGCTTGACAGGTGGATTGCAAACGTTTCATCACCAATCGAGGTTTGGGGCGGAGTTGGACAACTTCTTGGGCACCAGGAGCAGGACCAATATCCCGCTCAGCAGTTTTCCCTCTCTTGGATTTTGTATGAGAGCAGTACCAAGACCAAATGGACATCGTTTCGTAAGTTGGTCGAGGGTGATGATTTCAACACCGGCTTACAAGATGCTTCTCGTGCACCAGCATTAACTTTGAGGGCACAAACTGTCGGTTTTGGAACTTCGCAAATACTCACATTTTTGGCAAAGGTGCCATCGCACACGTCAATCTTATTTTTCCTGCCGGGTGTTTTATTGAGGAGCAGCGAGCGGACAATGGACAGTGGTGGTCGACTGATCTTGCTCATGAACAGCCGGCGGATGACTTATTGAACTTGGATTTTGTTCGACGCGGGAGAAATATATAGGCTTTAACTAAAGGCCGAAGATAAAAAATCATCGCTCTTGGCATCCTGTCGGACAAATTTCCGGTTATACTTGTGACAAATGTCACTTCCCATTCTGAAAACATGCTGGTGGACGCCGGCACAGCAGGTGCGCTACAGGAACAAAAAAATGGGTAGACTTTCATGGAAAAATTTACTGGTGAGTTTGCATCGGTAGGTTGTAGTAACTACAGTGCAGGGTGAACCTCACCAACCACTTCACCATGGAAGTGTTCATTTGCAAGGATTACCAAACCTGACAGAACCTCAACTAAGACCGAAATTGTTTTCTCCGACTACTTTTGTTTGGGCTTGAACATTAATTAATAATTCTCTTGTTTCTGGCCAGCTCAATGTAGGTACCAGATCCCGTTTGTACAAACTGGAGGACGCGGATCTTTTTTCAATGTTATCTGTCAATATGGACCCGGTTAGGCATGTTAGAAAACGAGACAATGCGTGATCAAATCGGTTGGTGAAAATCTATGAAAAAATACAACGTGCAAGGTCTGTAGGAGGAGGGGTGAGATATAAATTATAATCTTGAAACCAGCATGAGCTTGAAACAGATGGGAGTTATTCTGTGGTTAGTGTGTAGTCTTGGAAGTTTCCTGAAAAGGAAATAAAAGAAAAAAATTGTTTTCGTAACTTATGAATGTCAATAACTTTGAAATCAACCTAAACACTAACGCTGGACTAACTATAAATACTTCAGATTTCGTCATTGATTAACGGAAGTCAACGCGTTTGCCTGTTTGTTCAAAAACAATAATCTGCTGATTACTTATTCGCTTACTCATAAGCACTGTTGGTCTGATTTCTCACTAGGCCCAGTTCCATTCTGGTGCCCTTGTGAACCCTATGGTCGGGGGTCGGTCCTGAGTTACGATTTCTCCAGAGAGGATGGAATGTTACAAACTTTGTTCATATTGAACGCCAGCATAAAGCCCACTTCAGCTGTTAGTTATACGGGAATTATCTTGGCTCTGTGCAGCTGTCCCTGAAAGATTCACCGACCCAAAACGGTTTTATTTGCCTTCTTTTGGAAAACATTCTCTCTTACGAAGCACAGAATGTGAGTCACACGTTTTTGACAAAGTGAACTGATATAAGAGCAATAACGGCTCTACTGAAATGATTTGAGTAATCAGTATAGTGGATCCTGGTTGACAGAAAACAAATTTAGCGTGTTTGACACCGATTGATTTGCTGCACCCACCTGTGCATTACTTAAACTACACTGTTCTCCCCTCAAGTGAAAAAAGACCAACTGACCAAACCAGCTGGACCGTCAAGCCTATTCAGTGTACATTATAAAACATTTGACAGTGATTTATTTTCCGCGTTGCTCTTTATTCATTCTGGTAGTTACATCAATCCAACTAAACGCATACAGAAATTTGTTACTTAAACTAGCAGTTGAGGTGAACATACTACACATATTTCATATTTTCTGCAACAGGACAGCCTTGGTCATCGAGAGTTTTCTCTCCCGTTTCATGGAAAACATTCCTTGCCTGATCTGATATCGAACACTATTTTCGGATCATTTTATTGTCTCGATCACTGATGTGCACACTGTGTTGAAAGTTGGTGATGGTGTGCTGAAGTTTTGCCGGATAATATTGAAGGACGTCTTGTTCATTGCCATTCAGGTGAATGATAAGCACCGAGAACAATCTCGCCAGCTGATATAATCAAGCAGTTAAATGTTTCCCTACTTACTGTGGTTTAGCATGTACCCAACAGTTCTTATCATCCAGTATGAATAGACCGCTATAGTTTTGAGAATTTCCTTCCCTGAGAATTTACTTTTCTACTCCTAATTGGAACAATTCTTGAGACCGGGCAATTTAGGGGTCACCTCATTGAGCAAAATGTCCAAATACAATTCCACAATCTACAGTATGCGACTGGTTACAAAAGTCAAATTTTCGCTGTAACCGTTAATAACCTCACATGTCGAAATTTTGAACACTTACCAGGACATTCAGCGTGGATTTTCTGTTTCGTGCTGAGTACTGAAAAACTCGCTTAGTATCTTTTCCTCGTTTGTATCCCGGTGAACTTTGTCATCTTCATTTGGAAAAGGCACATTGGGCATCAAGTGGACGGTTGGTGGTCTAGTGCGGGGCCTTCGAGCGCGATTCTGAAAAGGAGCGAGCATGCTTGTATCGTTAAGATCGCGTAACGACCGCTTGCCTGTATATCAATGAAACAGATTTTCTTGACGAAGCACATTACTTGTGAAGTTCCTGGGAACCCCGTGACATCTCACTAGTGATTTCGTCATTCTTAGAATTTCCCGGACAACCACCTTAAACCCAATGTTCCACTTGATCATCAAATCATAACAAATTTGTGAAATACACTCATTAGCATAACAATTTGGTTTTCAAAGGAGACTCAGATAAGTCCCTGTTGCTTCTCTCGTGTATGATATTCTTGAGGTGGATGCGGTGCACCGATATGTGAGAAGCTAGTTGTATATGGGTTTAAAGAAGGTATGTAGTTCAGGGGATACGAGCAGGCCGATGGGTTAGAAATGGAAACCTATATCGCTTCAGAGTGTCCGCCGTTCCGGAATGGATTGTTTGAATTAGGTAAATGGTGAGGTGCTTTGGAACAAAGGCCTGATTTCAAACATCACGTAGGTGATGTTTTGAACTTTCAGCAGCAGCCACCCTACAGTTTCGCCGAGTCTGGAACGATAACCAAATGCCACTTGTTCTCAATATATGCTATCACATCAGGAAAAGCTATACGTGGCTAAAGCCAAGGTACAATCCCTTGGCTAACTGATCCCTTAGCAATAATTATACTGGTAAACTTGCCTTGGTGAGACTGCTTAAGAGTGATTCCGTGTTGGTGACCGTGGAAGAAGAAGAGGGTAATGTCGTTCGTGCCGAATTGACTGACAACGGTTCATTTATAGGTTTGTTCCGTAATACCTGAAAATTGTTCAACCAAGTATACCAGAACATCATTTGTTTCGGAAATACAGTCCTGTGTGTGGTGATTTCAAGAAGTTTATACATAATAGAATATTGTTAGTCATTTTGAAGTTTGAGACAGTCTTCCTCAGGCTCCGTCAGGATAACTGAACGATAATTGAAGTTCTAAGTAACTCGGTAGTTTACTTATGGCTTTTATTAGAAATCGATGAATGGATTTAAGCTCAAACGTCCGAGACTCTGGAATATGACACTGTGTGAAAAGTGCTGAGATCTTATTTCAAATCATATTATTTTTGGGAAAATTCTACGCCACATAGAAGTGACCGCAAGTAAGTAACCGGATGAAGAAACTAAAAAACGCTGCAACAGAGAACAAAAAACATGTTTGGACAAACTTGGATCCCTTTCCGGCCAGCACTTTGCATTACACTTTGCGGCAATGGATATGATCACAGTTTTCCAGATGACAGTTTCCGTGATTCTAAACATAATGACCATCGTTTGAATGGCTAATACTATCAGAATGTTCAACATATTCTGCCACACAACGACAAACTTAGAGATCAACGTACTTCGCCGAGTCGAACGTGTGGATTATTCACATACATCGATTGTATTCTCTTTGGGGTTCGTTGCTGTGCCTCCACTTCTGGATTGTTTGATGGGTTACGCCGGCTTGGGGGTAATTTCATGCTTGGGGATCGATGGTCTATCTGTGCAAATGTATTGGAATGGCGAGATTTTAAAATACTTGCAATAGTTTTCGAGACAAAAACATACCCCGTTTTCGTGGTGGAAATAATATAATGGAATCATGAATACAGAAATGGTAGGATGTTGAAGCCACTCGGATTCAGAGATAGGGAGAATAATATAATAAGAATTAATCAATTTGTTCTAATAAATTAACAATTTAGCGTATACCCGTCTTGACAATACTCAGTTGGACACGATGAACGCAGCGAAATAGGAAATGAATTAGTGATCAGAAAAAAATACTTTTATCTTTTCTTACAGGCGCTGTCCATGATAGCAGCCTGTGACATTCTGAGGTCATATTTTCACCATGTCCTTTCTCATAGCGCTGTTTGATGCTCTTCTCTAGTTGGTTGGTCGGCTTCGTTCTGTCACAGCATCTTTATGCGTCATTTCAGTTTATTTTAAAGGTGATCACACCATTAGGACAATAGTTTAGTTAGACTTTTTTAGTCTCCACCTGCTCGAAAATATCCAACACTGTCATAAATTTGATGGATGATAACTGCTTCTAAGCCTCTTAGCTCGGAAAACACAAGAAATGCAGGTTTTCCCAAGCAAACTACCTATAGCTCAAAGTTGAGGAATGCACTACGGAAGTTACTGTTGTATTGTACCATTATCACTTATTGTAATATCACATAGGGCACTAAAATTAAGCAACTTATTGCGGCTGTTTAATGACTGAATTTTTCTTCGACAGGGGATCATTAAATGTTATCTCAAGCGGTATGATAATACGGCACTGTGTTGATTAGAGACTCTGAAGTTTGATGCCTACATGTTTAACCCCCGATGTTTCAAGGTCATAACTACAAGGTCGTCGACCTTGAGCATGACTCAGTAGTGAATTGTGCCCATGATGTGAGTGGAAACACATTTCAAGTGAGTTAAAACGCATATTATTGCAGTTGAAGGCGGAGAAATGTACCAAGTTTCACACAAGGTGATGTGGAAATAAGCATTAAATTCACTCTATGGAAATTCAACATACGATTTTCGACCAATAACCGCTGAAATGTTTTTTTGATGAAGAAGCGCCTGAATTCAAAATGTCTTGCGTAACACAGTATAGGCTGCAATGGTTGCGTCCAACTACCTTAAGCTCGAAATGGCAAATTAATTCAAATTTAAGCGTTTGGCGTGCTCATCCGATGCTTTGACCTATCCAGCATACTGAAATGAGTAAGGCCATTTAGGTAACTCAAGTATCGTTTCGGTGAATGATAACATGCTACAAAACGATGAATGAGGATAATATTGAGCAGTACCAAGTTGCCCATTTACTTTGGAGATTATTAACCCTACTAATGATATGGCCTGAGGTAGCAAAAAGCAATTTACAGTGACCGAAATATGGAATCATTCCGGTTCACGGTAGCAGATTTATGGAAAGAAAACGTTGATTAACCAGGTTAGGCGGTGGAATCACAATGCATTCCTCATTAAAGCCGTAACGAATATTACTTGCCTTAGAGAAAACCAAACGGTATGATGATAGTGAATTAGCAAGTGAACAGATGGATATACAAGAAAAATGGTTGATAAATATGAGATTTAGAAGAATAACTATTGCGAATTTTTCTCACTGGGATGCTGGACCATTTTCTTGGCGTGGAGAAATAGAGTCTCGTATGACATGTGACCCGTTTATTATTACAGCTATATCGACCCTTTTAGCAATCACCACATTTACCCAGCTCGGTGTGGTTCAATAAAAATGGACCTTGATTTCGAAAGATAAGTACGTTGGGCGACACATGCTGGTACTCCAGATACCTTAAGCTGGATAGGAACTAGGCTAATCCATAGAAGCCACGGACCTCAGTCGCGTTTCGTTTACGACGTCAGCTGCAAAAAAGGCTCGACCAAGGTGAACTCACGACCAGAATGTTTCCTAGCAAAGCATACCTATTTTTGAAGTACTTGAAATGAGAGGGCCCATTTGGCTGATGAATTCGTCATACTGTTCAAGCACAGAAGCCCAACTTAGTTTAGCTGAAAAGCCAGCTAGACCTAAAGTTGCTAAGTGCACCATCTGAATGTTTTGTCGCGTCTCTAGCATAACCGCCAGAATAGAGAATGTTACCCGGTTTCTAAGGGGAATAGTGTAAGAGGATATGCGTACAAAATTTGTGGTCTTCTGCAATCATTATTCTTTCATGCAACGACCTGTGGAAAAATCTGGTATACATTTCCTAATATAACTAATGACTTGCCAAGTTATTAGATCCTGGCTAACCTATGGTTTCAAATAACGTGGAACAGGAATGAAACTGAGGAAGACAATGCTGTGTATTTAGCGTTTGTCAATGCAAAGTGTGAAGACGTTCATGGAAGATCAGCACTGGGTGTAATATGTTTGCGTGAAACCAATGTATTTTGCACATTCGCTAGGCCTATGTAATGGCCATTTCAAGTCAAATGGGATAATACAAGCCGCAAACAATACCGTGGCTATAAGAACAGTGAGGTGGAAACAAAGGTCGTTAGAAAGTGGTCTCACATTACCAAATTGCGTTGCGACGAACATAAATCCAAATTCGAGTCTGCATGAAAGATCTGCAGCTTGTTGTCGAAAGATTCGATAAACGGTGAAGGAGTCGCCGAAAAACACTTACCGCTTTGTA